CACCACCAGCAGCACCAGGGACCCTCACAGTACCCCACCACCCCTGGAGTGCCCACCACCCTACTGGCAGCACTGCCCAGCCCTTGCGCAGTGCTGGGCACCCCACCTTGACCCCAGCTGCACCCCCAGACTCCAGCAGTTGCCCCTCCAGGAGAGCCCCGTGCACCCCCATAGGTAACACCACGTATCCTGTGGGTCACACCCGTGTGCATCCCACGGCCATAGGCCCTCCCTGAGCCAGCATCTGCAGCAGGCCAGGCCCCTGGTGTGGCACAGTGCACCCCGCTGGCAGCACCGCACTGGCAGCACCGGGCACCCCAAAAAGCTCTGCCTCAGCTCCAGTGCAGCCACACACCCCAGGACCCTGATGTGCACCCCATGTTGATGGTGCATCCCACCGATGGTTTGTGCACCCCACCCACAGCACCCAGCACCCCACAGGCAGCACCAGGCCCCCAACATCACCCCATGGATGGTGCTGACACCCCAGGGCCAGTGCTGAGCCCCCACGGATGCCCCAGAGACGGCACCCCGTGGTGGGGACAGCAGGCCTGGGGGCAACCCATGCGTCACCCCAGGGAGAGCCCCACCAGCCCAGCAGCCCCTCTGGCCCCACCAGCCTGGGGCCCACCTTGTGTCCAAGCCCCCTGAAGGTCTGGGGGTGCCAAGGGCCGTGTCACACCACTGCTTGGTGTCACGGGCACAGCTCGCACCCCTGCTCTGTAGCCACACACCATCTCAGGTAGCCCCATGCCATGTCAGGTAACCACACACCAGGTCCAGTAGCCATGCACTGTGCCAGAGACCGACAGGCCGTGCCTGCAGCCCCCCTCCCAGCACGGCTCCAGCCCCCCAGATCCTCCGAGCCAGGGGGGCGTGGGGAGGTGGCAGCTGGTGGCCCTGCTGGGGCCAGGCTCCCTGTCCCCAGAGGGACCTCCAGCCCCGTGCAGGGAAGGGGGTGCCAGGGCTGGGTGGGTGGCTGAGGGGCAGGGGCTCCCACTTGTCTCCCCAGTTCGAAGGGTCTCACAGCCCTGTGCCGGTGCCAAGTGGCCAGACTGGCCCAGGAGGGCGACAGAGGGTGGGGGGCTGGTGGCCAGGTGAGCACTGGTGCCTGAGGGGGGCTGCTCGGGGGGGGGCTGTGCAGGTGATAGCACAGGTGACACCATCCCGAGGTGCAGGGACAGGCCGGACCCCCCGCGTGGGGACAGGGTGACTCAGGG